CAAAATTTGTAAGAGTCAAATTTTGTTTTTAAAAGTCACATCTGGGCTTTGTTAGCAAAGGAGCTATGAGTGAAAGTGAGGTAGTCCACAGCTGACTACATAGGTAGTAGAAGAGCTGTAAAGACAATTCTTTCTTATTAAGTAGCTCAAAAGAACTGTCAGGCTCCAATTATCATTGTTCTAATATACAGTATATTCTATAAATCAAGTAGACAAGAGAAAAAGATCTCTTTCTTGCTTTCTCTGAGGATCTCTGCTATCTGTACATGGCTCATAAGTTAAAAAAAAAAAGTTCCTGTTCCATCTGGTCCATCCAGAGTTGAGCAGTCACAAAATATCATCCAAATGAAATTTCCACTTACCTATAAAGTAGGAGCAATCCCTCCCCCTCCCACACGGACTACCTGTCTCACACTCCTTTTTTTTTTTTTTTTTTTTTGTCTTTTTGAGACAGGGTCTCACTATGCAGTCAGGCTGGCCTTGAGCTCACTTTATAGTCCAGGCTGGCTTCGAATTCACAATGATCCTCATGCCTCAGCCTCCCCAGTGCGCCACCATGCCCTGCTCTGTCCCACATTCTTTTGCTGTATCAGAGAGCTACTCATTAGCAAGAACAGCTAAAATCACAGGCTTTTCTTCCTCAACCCCAATGCATATTTCTCTGCCGTGATCTTTACTCAAATTCCCAGTACCTCCCTTTTCTTTCTTTCTTCCTCTTTCTTCCATCAAAATTTACTGAAAGCCCACTCTGTGCCACTCCCTATGGCAGGTGGTGGGACTATAATGATGACTAACAAAAAACCAACTCTTTAGTACCTAATAAGGGCCTTAACCACATATTGGATGCCTCATACATATTACGTCACTTAAACTTCAAAGCATTTTTGAAGTACATACATACTATTATCCTTATATAGAAAACTCAGAAAGACAATAAATTATCTTATTTAAATAAATCAAATAAATGTCCTAGAAATATTTTTAAAAGCAATATAAGTTGAATAGAGGAGAACAACATGGGTTGGTAAAGTTCTGGGTTCCACTTGTAGCTTTGACATCTGTCTGTCCATGTATTTATCAAAAATTCATAGTATGCAAGAGACCATAGAGTCTAAAAATACTGGAGTAAATCAGGTAATGAATTTATTCTGAATCTATAAGTGCTTTCCTTATAACTCTAAATAAAAACAATACCAATCACCAGCTGCACTAATACAAATAAGATGAGCAGGAGATGGTCCAAATAGTCAGGTTATAAAAATCTCATATCACAAGCTAAGAGTCGGTACTTTACCCAAAGGACAGTAAGAAGTCTCTGAATAGTTATGCACTATTGTGATGTGGTCCAATTTTCAAATAATACAAACGATTCTGACTGCTAGTAAAGAATGGGTTGAGAAATTGGGCTTTGCTTTAGTGAGCTGGTGTCAGGCTGCTCTGGAAAGGTGTTGGGTCCTGGCAACCCAGGGACTTGCTTTTTATAGTCACCAAGCATAAAAGATAAGGCAGTGGACCCTAGAGAGGCCAAGGATTAGAACTCAATTCCTATGTACAAACCTGGAACCACAAGGGAGCTATATTGTCAGTTTAAAAAATATAAACTGATGCAAAAGTACAGATATATGACAGGGAAGCTGAGTTTAAAAAGAAAGTCTTCCTACAAATTTGAAATCTTGGCCTAGGTGAAGTCTGAGGCTATACTACTTGTGTGGAGTGTACAGTACCTGTGTGGTCTTAGAATCTTAATTTATTTTTATTTATTTATTTATTTTTTTGGTACTGGGAATCGAACTCTGGACCTCACGCTTGCCAGGCAGGGTCTTAGAATCTTAAACATAGAAATTAACCGTAAACACAATTCTAGGCTGATAATATTCCTTAGTGATTAGCAGAAACAGTAATAAAAAATCCCCCCTCCTCCAAAGGAGTACACATCATCTTATTTAATTTGCACAACTATCCTATGAAATAGATCCCAGTTTATTTATTTATTTATTATTTATTTATTTATCTTTTGTCTTTTTGAGACAGGGTCTCACTAAGCAGTTCATGCTGGCCTTGAGCTCACTTTGTAGCCCAGGCTGATCTCAAACTTGCAACAATCCTCCTGCCTCACAGATCCCAGTTTATAAAAGAAATTAAGTTTAGGAATGTTAAGCAACTTGCCCAAAGTCACTTAGCTATTATATAAAACAGAACTAGGTTTTTATTTTTTATTTATTTATTTTTGTTGTTTTAAAGAGTAAAAGAAGGTAACATAGTAATAGGGGGGCTTACCAAATCACAAAGTGGTAGGAAATTATCAATGGTTGTTGTTCTACATACTGTTATCTTCAAGATAGTTTCTCAGGAAAACAGACAAATAATAGTGAGTTACAGACAAAAGTGATAGGAGATTATCAATGGTTGTTATACTATACTTTGGCATCTTCAAAGTGGTTTCTAAAGAAAATAAATAGAGCTATACATGAGTGATCAATTGAATATTCATTGACTATTCTCTATGGTTTTTGTAGGAAACACATAGTAGTAAACATACATCTATTTACGAAATAGCATGGGAACAATACAAACATTACAGAGTTATGGATAGATTAGCAGGAAAATATCAATGGCTGCTGTAATACATGGTGGTATCTTCAAAGTGGTTTCTGAGGAAGACAGAGATATTCAAGAAAGATCTAACAAGTAGTTACAGCCTAAGGGTTGTGAAAAATAGCGGATTACCTCCTCACCAGTGACTTCTTTCACTGAGGTATGAGGGCTGGAAGGAAGGCCAGGGTTGAAAAGGAGGACCGAGAGACTTGCACCTGTGTCTAGCAACAGGCTGTTTTCTTTTTCCTTGATAGTCATGATTACCCGGGGCTCCTCCATGAAGCTGACAGTCTGGCCAGAAGGAAAAGGCAGAGTATGCCCTGGACCCCCTCACTCCTGTTGGACTAAATGGTAGGATGGGTCTGAGCTCTGGGGCCTCTGCTTCAGAGGGCAGACCAATCTCCAGTGGTCATAGAACTAGGTTTTTAAACTTGCTTGTTTATTCACCTGAAACACATTGCTAGGTTCTAATATGAGCCATGCAGAGACTGTCTGCCCTTTCCAATATATTATGTTGCCCAACTTTTTTTTTTCCAAATCCATAATTAAATGCAATTATTTCCTTTTTCTTTTTTTTTTATACCAGGAATCAAACTCAGGACCTTGCACTTGCCAAGCAGGTGCTTGTGCAGCTGAGCTATATCCCCAGCCCGGACAGTACTGATTTTAAAACGTAAGTAGGTAGGGCTGAGAGTGTAGCTCATTTGTAGGGCATTTACCTAGCATGTACAGGCTCTGTTCAATCCCTAGCATACCAAAGAACAAAAGCAAAACAAAAAACATGACCAGCTACAAATGATAGCAGTTATTTAAAAAATTAGCATGCATTCTTAGAAGCTTAATACACTAGTCATTAAACATGTATGCATGCTTTATAAAAACAGTACTTAATATTTTTTAAAAAGCAGGTCAAACATTTGAGGATTCTCTCCTAGTGTTCTTGCTGAACAAAGTTTGGAAGCAATCAGACACAAATTCTCTAAGAGATCTTTTTACTCTTAGTCTAGGGAGGCTAAAACACATAAACACTAAAGTGCATAAAGAGCTTAAGGAGAAACAGGTATACTCCACAACTTCCATTCTTTGTCAATGACTCTTTGGGACAAAACTCTCCCATCCTCTAATGCCAACTGTGCAGCCAAGACCTAATCTATTTTTTGACCCTCCTTTACCACTTCTTTTCTATATTTTACTTTAGATAAGCTCAAATATTGATTGTCTCTGTCTGATCAAAAATCAACCACACTTTTTTCTTTTGTGCTGGGGATCAAACCTCAATGTATGCTCATCAAACGTTCTACCACTAAGCAATATGTTCAACTATAATCATACCTTCTTTTTTTTTCTTGTACCAGGAATTGAACTCACAACCTTGCGCTTGCCAGGCAGGCGCTGTGCCGCTGAGCTAAATGTGGGCATGATATGCCAATCATGCCTTAATTCATGTGTTTGTTTATAGTGTTATGCCAACCTTGATTTACCATCTTTGTTTGTAAATAATAACTATTATTAAGTACTTTGTGCCAATTATTATATACTGAGTCCCTTATACTAGCTCATGTAATCCTTGTACCAGCTCTATGAAATAGGGTAATGCATTTGTACTCATATTATACATGAGAACAGTAAGGCTCTGAAAGTTTAGAAAACTTGCTCAAAGTTAAATAAGGGAAAGAATGTTTGCTTGAAAAGCACTGAGTTTAAAGTTGATTTTTTTAAGGAATAATGAAGCAGTCAGGGAACAATGTTATTCCAGGCAGAGGGGCAACACACATAGAGGCAGAGAAATAATCCCATGTCTAAATTTCCAGCTACTTAGGAGGCTAAGGCAGAAGGGCTGCAGCCTGGGCAACTTAGTGAGACCCTATCTCAAAATTCAAAGAAGCTTTTAAAGGGCTGTGGATGTATCTCAGTAGTGAAGCACTTGCCTAGTACAAGCCAGGCCTTAGGGCTTAATCCCCCAGCAACACAGGGCAGGAGGGACAGCTTGGTGAGTATTTTAGGAAAAAAATCAGCCTTCAGAATCATCTGGATTCAGTGTCGAATTTTGTTTTGTTTTGTGGCTTTTTACTATGATTTTCTCATCTAGGAAATAGTGATAATAAACTATACTGTGTCTAATTTGCTATCAGATTAAAGTAAAATATGGTACATAAGGGTGCCCCACACAGGTCAGGTTGATGATAGGCATTCAGTAGGTATTACTTCACATCCTTCCCACCTGATGACAATTCAATGATCCTTAGTCAAGAATGTCACTTCCATCACTATCGGACCTCAGACATACCTTCTCGAAGTTCCCAAGATTTATTAGAGCTTTTAGATACCAAAAGTCACTTAGCAAATTATTTGATAATGTCCTTAACTACTAGTTCTCAAATAAGACCCATTCTCACACCACTCACCCGTGTAGGCCATGTTCTTAGGGTTGCCATAAGGAGCCCCAGGCTGCACGGGGCTGTAAACAGGGTTCATTGTGGAAGACTGAGGATCCTACAGAAAAGACAAAAAATAGCATTGATTACCGATAGCTAATTCTCCTTGACATCAGCTTCTTTGTTGGAGGAGGCGGGTGATTGGGGATTGAACCCAGGGCATTGCACAAACTGCATTCCCAAGAATATCACCCCCCTTAACCCTTTATTTTGAGACAAGGTCTCAGTGAGTAAGTTGCCCAGACTGGGCTTGAATTTTCAATCCTCCTGTCTTAGGCTTCCAGAGCGCTGGAATTATAGGCATGCGCCACCATGTATGGCCAGCTTCTCCTTTAAAATCTTCAGTTTACATCGAAAGTGAAGCATCACTGTATATAGTAAAAAGGCAACTCACAAAGTATCTATGCTAGATACTTTTCCCATTGAACCAAATGAAGTTATTGAGAAGTGATATAACTTGCTTAATGTTAACCCAGGCTCTCTGTTCATCGTTAGTCCCACTATCCCACATATAACTCTGCCATTAGTGTGGCATTGGCCAAGTCATGTTCCTTCTTAGTCCTGATGTAAAATGAATTAGTGATCTCTGAGGTCCTTTCTAATTGTAATGATGATAGCCCAAGAGCTGGAAAATGATGAGTTTCATGTTTTTCTATGGGAGCCTCAGAGCCTTTTAAGGAGCACGTAGCCTGCTGAAAGGAAGAGCAGCAAGTGTCTTACCAGCCCCTTGTACCTGCAGAGGGCAAGATACCAATCACTAGCAGCTTTAAAGACAAAAGGGGGATTTATTGCCTCTGAACATTGTAATGCAAACAAGGAAACACTGCCAGGATCTCTCCAAACTTATTCAATGCACAGAAGTAAGCTTGGAAATTTGTGTGTAATAAGTATCACCTGCACAAGTACACTGTTAATTATCTTAATGAAGCACATTCTCCATTCTGATTAATGGAAAATTTGTCATTAAGCTCTATTACCCGGCCAATTTGTCCCACTTTGTTTAGGGAGCCATTTCTTACACACAGGCTGACACATGTTTGAAAATGTGTCTCCAAATGTATTATTTACACTTCATAAAAATCAAACAATTCCCTCTTAACTAGGTTTACATGATAGATGGGCAATTTTTTAGGTCATTAACTTCTTTGGTAGCATCTCAGGATAGGAAACAAGTCAAATGTTGAAGACAGGCAATGAACAGCTGGTTTGACAATTACTGTGCGATTAATTAGTCTGCCCAGGGTTCTGGAAAGAGAGGTGGAGAAAGGATTTGTTCCCAAAGAGAGGAGGCTAGGGTCATCAGACAAGCAAAAGGGAAAATTCTACCCATCAATTTTTGAAGCTAACTCCCTGAAATTTACTTAATGTGCAGCCCCGGCAAACCACTCCCTGGGTAAGAGGCTACATAAAAGTACCACCAGTTTACAAGCTGTAACTGCACTTCAGGATGAAAGTTAAAGAAGGCATATGTATTTCTGTTCAATTTGGGAAAGATATTCTCCCAACAGAGCTGAAAAGTAAGAGATCACATATTAAAATAAGTTGCAAAACTGTAAAGTGATGTACAAATATAAACAATGATACTGTGATAGTGGTGCTGACATGAGGACAATAACACATTATTTGTACACTTCACCCACTCTGGGCAAGTCTCTTCTATCCAGCCAGTCCTCTGCCTAATACTCCAGTGTAAACAAGATTGTTACAGTGATGCCATGGTTTGGATGTACCAAAAAGCATGGTTAAAAAACTTAATGGCCATTGTAATACTGTTAAGAGATGAGACCTTTAAGAGATGATTAGGTAGGGAAGGACATGCTCTCATGAATGGATTAATGCAGGTCTCTGGGAATGTGCTCTGTATAAAAGGACAAGTTTGGCCCCCTCTTGTTCTCTTACCCTCTTTTTTCCCTTAGGCTCTTCTACCACCAGATGATGCAACAAGAAGGCCCTTGCCAGTTGGCACATAGGTAATGAACTTTCCAACCTCCAAAACTGTGCACCAATAAATGGTCCTGCACTGTAAATTACAGAGTCTGTGGTGTTCTGTTACAGCAGCACAAAACAAATGAAGACAAGTGCTACACACCACAACTGGCCCTGCAAACAGCTGAGCGCTCTCCTACTGAGAAGGCACTCTGTGTTTGATTGGACATAATATGAAATTGCTTTTCATAATCAAAGAAGCTCACCAGCTTTTGGTCTCCTGCTGCTCCAAAATGAGGGTCACCAACACAAGAGGAGTCCACGCCTGGGGCAGAACTCCACAGTATATCAATTCCAATCCCAACTAATGACTGCCAGAAATGAGATCTGGTGGGGGTTCAAACTCTGGAATAAGACTATGATAGGGCAGACAGAGTTCCCAGCTTCTGAAGGAAGATCTGCCTTTTACAACAGAATCTACACACTGTTAATAGTTTCAGGGACTGTTAAAAATCCATAGAAAGATCAAGAGTTCTACAGTATGGCAGAGTTAGGTTCAAATCCTAGAACTACCACACACCAACTGTGGAATCCTACCTGTCTTTCTGCCTGCCTGCCTGCCTGCCTGCCTACCAGTCTCTCCCTCTCTTTTTCTCTTCTCCCTTAATTTTTCTGAGTTTTAGTTTCCTCTATCCTCAAAATGGAAGAAAGAATAACACAAACTTTGTAAAGGTGTTTTTTTTTTAAATGACAAATTTACAGAGGTATTATTTATATACAATAAAATGTGCCCTTTTAGGCATATAGTTCTATTAGCTGAAAAAAATGTATTCAGTTGTACAAACAAAACTACAATTCCATAATTTAGATGGGGTACTTTTACTACACCTAAAAGTTGTCTTATATCTTCATAGTCAATATCCTCTCTCTTACTCCTAGCTTCTGGCAACAACTGATTTATTTTCTGTTGTTGTAAGGCATATATAGAGAGCAGTGGTTTTTTGGTTTTTTGTTTTTTTCCAGTACTGGGAATCAAATTCATGACCTTGCGCTTGCCAGGCAGGCGCTGTACCGCTGAGCTAAATCCCCAGCCCCTGTAAGGCATATATATAAATAATATATGTATATATAAAATATATTGAAAAAGTACAACATTTATAAAAATCTACCAAGCTGCACATTTCCTGCATCTTCATCTTTTTCTAGATGGAGTTTCTAGAGCAGTCCTATCTACCAGAACTTTCTATAATGATAGGAATATTTTATAGTAGCTGGGACACAGTTCTGTGTTAGACTGGAAGGCCCTAGGCTTGATCCTCAGCACATCAAAAAGGGGTGGGGAGGGTAATACCTGTGTTAGTACAACTGAGGAAGTGCATTTTCATTTTTATTTAATTTTAATTAATTTAAATAGTTACATGCTACCATCCAGTCAGAATATTCAGAAAAACAGTATTTCAATATTATTTATAGATATATAGATATACCAAAAATAATGTTCAAACTGGACGTGGTGGCACACACCTGTAATCCCAGCACTCAGGAGGCTGAGGCAGGAGGATCATTG